CTTTTCCTCGCTCGTTACTAATATTTTTATTGTATTGTGCTTCTAAAAAGATTTAGTTTATTTGGATACGCAACGACACGTGAGCGATCTGCCAAGGGGGTGCCTCCCGGCAGAACTTTTTAAGGGCAAATGTGAAATACACCCGGAAAATTCCACGTGGCCGGCACGTTGGCCGGGTGCCAACCCGCGACAAACTAACAGTGTTCGGTGGTTTTATCCACTCGGCCAGCGGAGGGCTAACGTCTCTAAAGAAACTGGGCCAAACCTTCGGAAGTGCTTAGAACGGCCCCGCACTGGCAGAGGTATGAAATTGTATCCGTCTATTGGAAGCGACGTACCTTGTTGTCACCCGTGATGACGATAACTCTGATACCGGCTTCGCGACATTTCTGAATGGAATCGAATACTTCTGTCCTGGGTGGATCCAACATACCGGCAACGCCGACGAAAGTCATGTTCACCTAAAAGTAAACCAAGGTATAAATAACTCTGAAGTAATCGGGTAAGAGTTACTGAAAAAAGGGCGATGATAACGTTAAAAAACTTACGAAAAATAAAAACTACTCCCTATTAATTAATTAATGTGCGAGGTGGGATCTAGATTAATTTAACTCCACGTGCATATTGTAACGAATATTATTTTATATTAAAAAAATCACTTACTTCATAATTAGCGAATTTAGTAGAATCGACCAAGTCCATGTCGTCGGGTTTGGGTGGGTTGTCGCAGGTGGCCAAGGCCAGACATCTAAGCGTGTCGCGACCCGTTCCGTAGTGTCTGGTCAGATCCAAAATGCGATTCTTGATGGAGGATGTCATGGGTACTTTCTGATTTCCAACGCGAACGTGAGAGCAACGGTCCAAAACACCTTCGGGGGCACCCTGACGACGACAAAAAAGAAATTTTAAATCCGGCTACGTGTATTTTGTATTGGAATAGAAAACGTCAGGTAAGACACTAACTTTGCAGAACAATTTTGGTCCGGGACCCAAACGAGTGGATCTGGTGGGTACGCAATAAGAGCTCATGGATTTCCTGTCGCGGGAGAACTCCAGAGTGAATTCTTTCTTCCACATGGAGGAGATTCCGTGAGAAACGACCAGGGCAGCATCGCGTCTAGACTTTCCTGCCTTATCGAAGTTCCATGGATTCATCTTTTCGGCCAGAACGACGAGAGCAGTTTCCGTGGCTTCGCCTACTTTCTCAAACACTCCTTTGTACTGTCAAGATAAAGTTTTAATTGTTTATTTTATGAAAAAAGAAATTTTCTATTTTATAGTCTGCTACACACTATATTACATATTAATGTAATAAGATTTGTACCTTAATCGATTATGTTGTAATTTTAAGACATGTAAATGTAAACTGGACATATTTCTTGTAAAAAAATTGTAGTAGCAATTTTTTTACAAGAAGTATGTCCAGTTTACATTTTGATAGTATAAAAATAATTTTTCAAATGCTTTCTGTAGTTAATATGGCAGCGATGAGTTAAATTTCAACATAATTTTATTCATTGAAACTATATAAATGTTTTCTTTGATATTCCCAAAGTAAAAATTGAAATTGGTTATGAAATTTCATAAATACCAAAACANTGAGGAATGCACGTCATTTATATAATAGCCTTATCAGAACCTTTTTTCATACTTTGCCTAAATAGCATTTGTCATTCTATAGAATGCCTAGGGAAAGTATGTAATAATTCTCATATTTCATAGATTGCCTAAAAACGCCAGGCATTATATACAATGCTTAGGTATTCTATAGAATGCCGGCTTTTCATACTTTGCCGGTAACATATATACTAAGAAAGTCTTTATTGGAATGTATTATAGATTTGGCAAGGACCGTCGGCACATATGCGGTGACAAATGCAACGCGATATATTTGGACCAGAATATTCGTTAATATTTCTCCGAATCCGACTCGGATTCGAACTCGGTTCCCTAGAACGGCGGGCGTATTTATTGTTTCGTTTCACTTTCGTCATTGTCGTTGTGTATCAATATATATATTATTGTGAGAATCCAACATATCGTCGATATCGTCATACTTATTCGATAATTGTTGTCGAATCTACTACCCCAGAAAATCTCCGCTTACACTTTCCGACGGCGAAAACGACGCATTCCCTCACTGACCCTCCGATCATTCGCGGCCGGATGGCCCAGCGCTCTGGAGGTCCCGGGTTCGAATCCGAATGGTCGATAATCCCCAGGAATTTTTCGGGGGGTGGTCCGTTCGGATATATCGGGCCCCGTCCCTCACCACCCGGCAGCCCCATTGCGGGCCTGGCCGAACCCATAACGTGCTTGCAAAAAGAGGCCCTCTTAGTGCCCACGGGGCGGAGAGTTAAAAAAAGAGACCCTCCGATCATATTATATATATGATTATTTATAAACAGTCGTGATTTTTACTAGGTAAAACCCGTACGTGACTCGGTGAGTTTGCCTACACCGCTTAAACCAATGTCCGCGGGCACACTTTAAAAATACGCTTTTAACATTAGTGGAAAAATACAATTACAAATAGCAATTTGTACATAAAAATACCACGTCTATTCGTGTTAAATAATGTTTCCTCTATTAAGTAACAAACGAGTCATTAATTAACGAGGCGAAAAAAGTAAAATATGAACCGAAAGATGCGGAAACGACCTCGGGCCTTTTCAGTTACGAAATGAGGTAAAAGCGGCGCGTAGTTGAAAAGATGGCTTCCCAGAGCCGCACTAGCGCAGGAAAACGGTGTATCGTGGAACGAGGGGATTAGTACGGAGGCGGTAGTGCGTGGTGTTTCGAACTATAAGCCAAGTGCTCGAACGTACAGATAGAAATGACGCGTTTACTTTTTATTCTGTATTTTTTGGGGTACGATGAAAACGAGTTTTGCGGAACGTCGCCGCGTTTATGGTAGCGTGTTACTAAATCCAGTCAACGTAATAATTAATTTGCGCAACGAAATGTTTCGATGGACGGATGGCGGGAGCGGTAATAAAATTAAATTTATTGCCGCTTCTGCCAACGATCGAATCCGAGTAGGAAACTTTGCCTTGTGTTTGGAAATATCGTAATAAATTATTAGTTCGGTAAATTTGGGGTCGACGTCGTCACGTTCGGCTATAAACGGGTAGGATAGGCGGTAGATTCAAAATCCTTTCTTTAAATTCGTATATGTGGTGTCCAGAGTCGATCGTATCCCGAGGACGAGAGGAAAGAGTGTTGTTAACTTATCCATGTCTCGAAATATTTTTATAAATTTTAAACCCGTAAAAAACTCGTTGAAGTCGTCCGGTTCGGAAGTACACCCGCGTACCAACTAAAAGTTTTTCGCGAAATTTGATTGGTTGACAGATTACCGTTCGATGTTCCGTTGCAAATGGTATAGTTTCTTAGAGTTAAATTGTGATAAAAAGTTTAAAATACCACATTTTCAATTGTTGTCTATTTGACCAACGAAATTGTGCCATTTCGTACCGTCCGAGTGACAATGGTAGGCTAAAAAACCCAACTCTTTATACGGTTTTCGTATTAATGTTTGTTATATTATAGCATTTTATTTACACAACTACAAAGGTTATCTTACGTAAGGGTTTATCGCACTCGGTGCCCGATCTAACGCGTTTTAAAAATTATTTAAATTGTTTACGGTAGAGGAATAAAGAATTTTAAAATACGTTAGAATGGTTATTCGGTGCGATAAACTCTTACGTAAGATCACCGTTGTATATGTATCAAATACAATAATATAATAGAAGGGTTAGAAGTACGAAATAATCTTAATCTTTGCCGCCGTTATTTTTTTGGCCGAGTAAAGTTTAAAAATTAAGCGTTAAATATGAAAGTTTTTAAAGAAAATATGATAAGAGATGGCGCCACCAAACTTTTAAATGTTGCCGCTCGTTGGTTAATATACAGTAGACCCCCAAGGACTTTAAACTACAAGGATAGCCAGATCCCGTATATTTGTTAGCGTGACCTTGGATCTATGTGACGTCACAGCAAGTCCTCTACTTCAACACGACAGNTTTTTTCTTAGACTCACTATTGTTTGGATGTAACTAGCTTTTTTTTTTAATTTTATATTTTCTTCTAATATGATATTAATATAGAGTGATGTTTCATCTGCATTATTTTGCAAGTGATATGCTGGTTCCTCAGCACTTCTTTTCTCTGTAGATTGATTAGAAAGATGGTAAAACTATCTTTTGTTTTTTAACATTTGAAATAATTATCTGATTTTGGATTATACAGCAATGGATCGTAGTGTTCTATTTTAATTTTTATATTTTCTTTAGATTTGTGAGAAAGCAATGATGATACCCACTCTAAACTGTTGGGATCATTGGATGGTTGACCTATGAAATTAACACAATATATGATACTATGCAAAATACTGTTCCATGTTTATGTTTAGGATGTAAATTTGCATTCATTATCTCAAAACGTTATATCTAGAAATACACTTGCAACAGCAGGAAGTTAGAATCAGAAGTGTTAGTAAGTTCCTTAGCTGCACCATCTGTTGAGAAATTTATTGCTGAATACAGTGTATATACTAGTACTATGCTAGACTAAGGTCAATGAATAACTGCAGAACAAATTATCTGTGTATTTGTATTCGTGTATTTGTGTTTAAGAATTTCCTGACTGTGACATGGGTCTAGTATGTCAACCTGTTTTCTATAATGTAATGTATATGCTGTTGTGAAGCCCTAATGTTTCTATACTTTTAGGTAGTGCATGTGTTACAATTCCTGTGCTAGAAACTGCTATTGGCACAATATGTACTTCATCCATTTATCACAAATGCTTCATTTTGTGGGCAAGTTCTGAGTATTTATTAAGATTTTTAGGATATGTATTTTGCATGATGTGGGTGTTTGGTGCAGCTATGTCTGAGGTATGTATGTGATTTTGTTTTATTTGCCAATGAATATGATTTAGAAATCACATTCATTGTAAAACATATATATATATATATACACAATAATACTTACTTTAATCCAGGAACCACCATGAGCAGGATCATTGAAGTGTCCAATATTAATTGCCCATACTGCAACACAAATAACAGATATCACTTTAGAAAGTTGTTCTCCAAATTCATCAAGTTTTTGTTGTAGAGGAGTTCTGACTTCTTCAGTTTCAGACATTTNCTAACCTATAGTTAAATCCATACAATAATAAGACACATATTTTTTGGATTGTCTGTTTTCTAATTTATAAAGCATCTTTTACACGACATTCGTGTGAATTAAACCCGGAGAGATTGTAAATAACGTTGTTTACCAAGCAGATATTCGGAAAAAATAATAACAAATTTATTTTTTGGAGTAAATAAAACTCGAAATTTTAATTATAAGTAATTTTGAAGTGAAAATACTCCGTAAATTCATGAAGTGTTGTACATTTACTAAAGATGATAATTTTCTCTGAAACAGAGATGAAAAGTTTAAAAGTCATGCCCATTTTATAAGGAAATGAATTTGAAAACCACAACATTTATAATGATAGTTTTTGTTTGCATTAAAAAAAACTTGAACAAATACATGTATATTAAAATTTTACTTTCCCAGCTGTTATAAAATATAGCCAAGGGAAAGTATAGAGACCAGTCAAAGTTTGACCCTCCCAACTTTTTTGCATTTCTTGACAATTTGACACTCAAGAAGCCCAAAAATATAAAATCTTCCAAAATTTTGTGCGCGTCAGCATCCGGGCTGGACAAACTGAAAATTTGGAAACTTGGTAGGTTTTGGGACGTTCCGTTCGAGAGTGTCCGGGCAAGTCGGCAGGGTGGAGAAATAGAAAAGGAAGATCGTGTTTCGTATCTGTAGTAAAGTCTGACTTAATGAAAATTTTACTCATTAGTGGCATTTTGAATATTTTTACTGTAAAAATGCACTTCTACCCTCAAAATTAAGCATTTTGCCTTTTATAATAATTAATAATATAAGAATTATCTTTTAATGAAATCTAATAAGATATGGTACCACACAATTTATCTTTTAGCTAACAGTGCAATAGAGATTTTTAAGTTAAAAAAAAAATCTATTAAAAAAATATTTATCATAATTGAACATAATAAGAAATTAAAAAGAACTAATAAGGTTCATGCCTAATGTAAAAAAAAAAAAAATTCAGATATTGAAGAGAAATACTGAAGATATTAAACTAATTATCTTATTATATCCAGGGCTAGTGAGAGAAAGGAGAAGCCAGGGCTCAAGCCAAAATCTGAGTTATAAACGTTTAATTATAAAGTCTAGAAAATTATTTATGTAATTTCAAATACTTAAAAGGAGGAATAAATTTAATAAACTGAGAACATTGCATCAGAAGAAAGTTTAGGGAAGTCCAGAAGACCTTAGCCTCAGGATTACTCTTTGCATATGTGTTACAATTGCAACATGAAACAAGGTGATAAGACAGATGAAAAATAGTGAAAATTTAGTAAATCAATTGTGTGTTTTTGAATAAAATTTTAATAGTTTTGATTTACATTTTCTTTATAATTTTAATAAAAATTACCTCGTAATGAATAGTAATGAAAAAATTACCTCGTTGAAGTCGACACTGGAATCGTTGCACATAACACATATTGTTGCCAATTCAAATAATGCTTCATAATCAGAACATTTAACCCTCTGGCCTTTCAAGAAACTAAAATTGAAAATTGTTACTTATATTTCATCTAAATCAAATAAAATTTTATTAAATTATGTATAATTTAAAGAGGATAACATTTAAACAAAAAAAAAAAAGCAGAAGTAATAAAACAAGTTAAAATTCACTTTTAACAAGCTTTATAATGGAATTTTATATATACATAGAATACTTATATACACAATGGAAACTTGATTAACTGAATTTGATGGGATCAGAGGTCTTTCAGATAAACAAAATTTTAGGTAATTCAGACACTTGTTTTGTTTGTTTTTGTGTTTTGGATACATCAAACAGTGATGATTTTAAAATTTCANAATGAATATGATTTAGAAATCACATTCATTGTAAAACATATATATATATATATATATACACAATAATACTTACTTTAATCCAGGAACCACCATGAGCAGGATCATTGAAGTGGCCAATATTAATAGCCCAGACAGCTACACAAATAATGGAAATGACTTTAGATAACTGTTCACCAAATTCATCTAATTTTTGCTGCAGTGGTGTTTTTACTTCTTCTGTTTCTGTCATTTCAGTTCTGATTTTACCTATTTATTGGAAATATATTGTTGTACAATCATACTTCATATAATAAATAATAGCAACAATTATAATAATAATTAAATAATATTTACCAATGGCAGTATCTAAACCTGTTCCAATAACAATACCTCTTGCTTTGCCAGCAGCAATATTGGTACCCTGTGAATATACATAGTTCATTAAAATGTATTCATTAGGATAAGGAAAAAAATAACTGAATATTCAAAGGTGCACTTTTAATTCCTTTTAAATAATCATGTTAAAAATAATTTCTCTCTTACTAACATTATCAAATTCTTTATTTTATCTATTTCTTTTCATGAAAGAAACAGTAACAAGTCTTTCACATAAAATCAAATGTTAGTATACACTGTACAAAATTCACTAGAAGAAACTTTCAGTTTTTTGTTGTTCATAATATTTAAATTACAAATTCAGCAATTAATTTCATTTTCATTTAAGTATTCAGAATATGACAGATATTTATTTAAAATACTGTATCCATCAGTGCTAAATGCATTACAACTGATATTAATTTACAATTGATATTTGACACTATAAAAATATTTTAAAAACTAGATTATAATTTATTTAACATTTCATTTTATATTTCTAAGGTGTTATTTTTCATTCTGACATTCAAATTGTCCACTTAAATTTCAACACAATCTAGATAATTCATCAAAAATCTTTATTCTAGAAGAATTAACTTAAAGCTAACATTTTCAATATTTAATTTAAATGTCATCTTTAGGCAAAAATTTTCTGTCATACATTTAACAGAAAGGACAACTACCTGAACAACTTAAAAGTATTTATATTTTTGAAATTTGTAAGTTTTTCAGATTGTATTCTTTTCCATTATATGTATGACAGAAAATTTTAGTGTGAAGAGGACATTTAAATTAAATGTTGCAAACATTCATTAGATTTAAGCTAGTTGTGCCGAAATAAAGGTGTTTGATGATGTATTTTATTTAAAATCAGTTTCAAAGTGGTTAAGATTAGATAATTCATTTTCATTAAAAGTAAATTCATGTTAATATATTTTCTGAAAAAAAATACTATAGAAAAATAATTTATGCCATTTTTTATAAGAAAATATGTATACAACACACACATACACATTCATATATATTATACATATGTATCTAATGGTTTCCTGGCCATCTTTTCCTAAGAAATAATTATTAAAATAATAAATGTAAATTATAAAAGAAATAATCTTACTGAAAATAGAATGTTTTTCTTGTCCTGATTTACAGCCCTGACATCAGGAATGGGTTCTGTGTGCTTGATTACAGAAACAGATTCACCTGTTTGGTTAAAAAACATCCATTAATTAAAAATACTTTATGAAATAATTGTTAAATGAATATCTACAAATTTGTATACATATTCATACCATAATAAATTGACAAGTAAAGATTGCTAATGCAAACTTATTAATTCAGATAAACATTAAAAAAGAAAAAAAAATGTGAAAATTTTAAACTTGTTAATTACTTACTCAGAACTTGAGATAATGAAAATTTCTCTAATTCTCAAAAATCTCATTGTTTCATATGTTTGAATAATAAAAATTGATTTCAAAATAATACTGTCTGTTTATTGAAGTTTGATTAAATTTGTATTGAAATTGTTTCTAGTAAAAAATTCTGCAACTACGAGTAATTATTCATGTACAGTACTCTAACACTTACATTAAATAATAGGAGAAAATCTTGATTTAACAACTTAACCTAGCTAACCTCTCCCTATCTTACTTAATTTACATTAATTTTATTAGAGTATTTCCAGTACTTCCAGTATTTATAGTATCTTTTGTGATATCATACTATCAAAATCTGCTTTGTTAAAGATAGCTTAAAAACACATAACTGACTCTAGCTACCTAATTCAAGAAACAGTTAAAAAACAATTATACTCAAATTTGGCCTCATCCTACAAATAGACTTATTAATGAGACTAATAATTAATACAGACAATATTGAACAAAACTATACTGCTGTATTAATTTGGATTTAATGTTATTTAAAGCTTTTATATTCCAAACGACATGCAGAATGTCTAGACAAACATACCCTGGAAATTTTCTTACAACAAATTTTTCCTTTATGATTAATACAATATAAAATAAACTATATTCTCATATTTCATGATAAATATTCATATTTTCAAATATAAAAATATGATTTAGTTAATATTTACAAAGAACAATCTATAAGAAGTTTTATTACATGGCTAATTATCATCAAATTGTCTAATTTAATTGAAATTACATCTCAACAAATGTCTATTGTTTTGAGTTAGCACTGAATTTGGTAGGAGCATATTCTGAGCATTATACATATAACATTAATAACCTGATATAGAATTTTATTGTATAGAAATACAATTAAAATGTATTGAATGAAAATACATAAGCACATACATAAATCATTTTAAAAATAACTGACTGATAAGAAGTAAGGTTAAATCATTATTTAATGGCAGTTTTGTTTAAATTTTTATGATTGCATGACAAAATTGCTTCTTTGGCAGAATATATTTTTCAATAGTTTGACGTTTGATGTGATATATTAGATCAAATATTAAACCATAAAAGAATGATTAGGTTCAACTATGCCAAAATATCCAATTAAAAAATGACAGTAGTTATCTTGTATTTTAATTGTATAGGATATACCAATTTATTGTAAAAGTAAATATCTAATAAATGAATAATGATTAAAAAACTTAAATATTTTTAATAATTTTAATATTAAATAACATAAAAATTATCATCCAAAAGATGTTTAATGCAAAAAATTTGAATTTCAAATTTCAGTTCATCTATAACAAATTAATTATAACTGTAGCAATATAAATACCATGATAATTATTACTTATTAGAAATAAATTTTGAAGTTACCTGTTAAAATGGACT